CCAAAAAATTGTTTTGTTGCCCTCAGCGACCGACCGAGAAATATGATACGCGGTTTTTGTTATTGTTTTTTTAATAGGCCCAAATATTAAAAACTCACTGTTTTAAGCAGAGAAATATGTTTCCTCTAAACATTTACGATCCCGGACCGTTGTTTGATCCCCAGGGTCCCAGGGGAGAAGAGGCGACTTTAAACCTACGCTTGATCTGTATTTCTCTGACATGTTCCGAATACTATGAAGTCTGTAGAGCAAACACGTCTTTTGCATTTGCAATATTGAAAATATCGCCGCACCGAGTATTTTTTTAATTAAATAAAAACATTATTTTGAATCAAAAACAATGCGTTTGTTGTAGTAAATATAATTTTTAATACATAAAATGCACAAAATTTTATTGAATTTACAATACGTGACATTTTATATTACAACTCTCAACCGCTTACATCACAAACAAAACGACGACTTTTGCACGTTGTTTTAGCGCTTTCAGTATTCTCACTTCCGGGTTCGTCATCGTGTGTACGTACATGTGTACAGCGGTAGCGAACATGTCGAACACGTTTGCTGTGTGCGTGGCAGCAACTATATTAAATTTTAAATTAAGTTTAAAAAAGAATCCAACCGACCGACCCAATTTTTCAATTTTCCGACTTGAGGGCAACATAAGTTGTTTTTTTGGCCTAATGGATGCAGAGCCGGCTCACTGCACATTGTCTGTGTCGACGAACATGCGCACATCGCTAAATGATGTATTGCGCACCATTGTCAAAGTATAATATATTTATAAATAAATATTGCATTCTCGCCTCATTCCATTTTAAATACTTGTTAGATGTCCATAAGGATTGGTCTTATCCGACATCCATAATTCCTGATTGAAAGTGACAGAGTGTACTTACGTGGCAAAATGTCAGGATATCGGTTCTTGTGTACATTGTTTGGCTCGTTCGCAGACTTATATTCATCACAATGTGGGGTTGGACACAGTTTATCAAGATTCTGTGAAAAAAAACATTATATTATGCTTTGAATCAATATACAATTCTCTTAAGCTGGTACACAACATTTTATACATCTGACACCGAATAGACGTGTTCGAAAGTTATGCGGTTGCACTCGAATGTCTTCCTTATTTGCGTCACATTTATGTCACATGGAAACACCTTCCCTTGTTTACCCCATTCGTAGAAGTGCTATCATTAAATTATTACTATAGCAGAAAAAAGTATAAACATACAGTAACGCATATACCTCGCCACGCGCCAGTCGATAGGATCACTGTACTACCTTCATGCATACTTTTCAGCAATCTCATAATAACCTGGGTTTTCCATGTAACAGTTTGGAAGTCAATGCTGCCAACGCTCACTACTAGAATATGTCATGTAACAGACGATTTTTTGGGGGTTCAAGTGCACGTAACATTTTCAATTAAACAATAAAGCTCGTTCGAACACTTGGTGTTATTTAGTACTTGAAAGATTTTTTAGATGGAGGGGGGCAACAAGTCGATTGATAGTTAGCTACACGGACACAATGCCACTTGTCACAATAACCCACAATTGATCTATGTGGCTACAACAAAATCCGAAAGACCTTTTTTGACAAACTACTGAAACGATTATCATGACTTGCTTATAGTCTCCGTTAAAGTTTTTAATAGCATGCTCAGTAGATTTTGATAGTCAAAGCAATTTTGAATGTAATATAATCGGTAATGATCTGCTGTTCATATTTTTAGAAGTTAATTATGATCAATCTCGTGTACTAATCATTTACATGCGTTTTGAATGATATCGATGTATGGCATCATGGGATAACATGTAAGCGACTTTGCAGTGAGATTAGAATTATAACAACTTGTATTTCAAACTGACCGTTGACCGCACGGTTAAATGTTTGCTATCATATGTTTCTTTCATGATATATGAGCAGTATCGACGTCATTATCTAGTATGCGACTATAAGTTGACTATAACTTCGCTACGCGGCAAATCGATTGGCCACACGCTAGTACGTGACATATATGGTACAATTAAGTTGCAATCTGTGATATCTTGATGGCTAGTAACATAAACCACTTAACATAAAGTCCTCACCGTTTACATCCGCAATGCAATTAAAAAAAACTTCGATAGTCATTTACTTCAAATTTACCTCAAATTCAAGTTGTAGACCTGTTTTTATTCCGTTTGCACTACTTCTCTTTAATTGTTCCAGGGTTATTCTGAGGTCTTTGCATGGTATCTCCGTGCTCCCACACAAGGTGGCCTCCAATACCGCGTTGTATATGAAGGCATACTGCTCCTGGAATACCACGATATTGGAAATGCATTACTTCGTAATTATGTAATTGACAACATACCCTATTACAGTCCGATTTATTTTTTTATAAATAGCCAAAAATGATGCACATGAACCAATTTCCTGATATTATGTCTTGCAACTACACTCAGTTTTAATTATTCTGTTTTCCCAATTCGTTTAAATTAACCAACTATCGTGTTTTATCACTTATTTAGTTATTTAATTAAAATAAAAAAAATGTCACAAACAAATTGTCATAAACACCGACATAAGCTAAAAACTTCGAAATTCAAACTTTCAATATTATCTTACCGAGGTTTGCACAAAGTTTTTTCTGTCTCCTCTACCTTTTGCAACAAAGTTAAAAATATCGACTTGGTCTTCTTCTTTGGCCATTTCTAGCATAGTCTATGGTTAAAAAAGTACCAGTCCTACCAATGCCAGCACTACAAATATAATTCATAAATCAGTTAAGCACACTTAATTGTGTTTATGAAGCGAATGTTACTTCTGCTCTAATAGTACTTGACCACAACGGATAGCCACCGGGTTTTTATCGATGGTTTCATGAGTTCATGTTTGCATCAAAGGCGCATATACCATAGGCCCAGCATTAGTGGGATTACTAGTTTTCACTCTACGTAAGAACGACAACACATCTGATGTGTAATTTGGCACGCCCATGTCAGGCCATACCGTAAAGTGGAACTGTTTGACTTTTCTTACATCACGTGGTTTATCTATCTGCAATGTTTGGACAAGAAAGAATGAACGTATATGCACAAAAACACGTGTAAACTTTAATGAGCATGCTTACATTACCTCATTAGCATAATAGCTGACCTTGCATTATTAAATATGAAAGCATAAAAGAAGCAGCTGTTGAACGCTGGATCTTACATTCACA